AATATCCCAAACCCTCCTTTCAATGCAGCATTGACTTCCCATTTCCAGGACTCAAGTCTAACCGGTTCCCTGAATCCCTTCACAAAAAAATTACCTGCTCACACTCCAACAGCTTGCCAGGTCCCAAAACCATTCATTCCATTCACCCCTACTAACTGCTAACGCACATGCGGGAAAGCCCAAGCCCCCTCACCCAAAAACCCTTTTTTTCCCCCCTTCCTCCAACCTTTCTGAGGATACCCCACCCTCCCCTTCCTTCCTCTACAGTTTATTTTGCCCCTTAAGTCATTCTACTTTTTCCTTCTCTCTAAATGCCCAAAAACCACCTCAAAAACCCCTTTTCAGCCCTCTGACTAATCTTTTAGTAACTCCACACCTCCTTTTTTCCCCACATTTGAATTCTCTTCTTTAAAAATTTTTACCCACACATTGCCCTTAGAAAAAAAATTTTCCCACGCCCCCGGGTTTCCCCCTCATGCAGCCTTTAAAAAACCCAAGTTTCCACCCGTTTAAAAAAGGGATAAAAATCTCGGGAAAACGACAGAGGAGGTTGACAAAGATGATCCCATTTATCAAAAATCTCCCTATGAGGACAGACGGGGGGGCCCCCTGAATCTGCACCTCTTGAAACGTAAAAAAAGGGGGGGGATATGATCGGTGTATAAATGGAAAGGGAAAATAAATAAGGGATGTAATTGCGGCTGAAAATTTCCACCCAAAGAGAGGACCGCGCAAGGTTTTCAATTGGAAAATTCAGATTCGGGGAAGGATTTTGGGAAAGCACTGTTTGGTAATAGAGTTGTGAGGGTGGAAAAACCCCCAAAGTACAGTTATTCAGGTTTAAAAACATTGTGTAGTTTTAAAAATAGGTTAGATAAATACACGAGTGGGTGTGGGTGGGTGTGAGTTAGACCTGACTAGCTTGTGCTGCTGGGTCTGGTGTTGTGCTCCTTCCTTGAGTGGAGGTGACCAGACTGGGTGGGTCATTAGGCTAATCCCGGGGGATGGGTCATTGGGCTAATCCGGGGGGGGGGCATGGACCTGCTCCGCATGGGTCAGTAGACCTGTTGCAGTGTTCCTTCTTTCTTATGTTCTTATATAAGAGTGTTGGTACCACTATACTTTCATACATTCCCTTCTTTGCCTCCATGGATACATATACGTACACTGCGAATTTATTTTAATCGCTATTTTAGGTATTAAAGTATTTTTGACTGGTGGTGGCAGGTTACATACTGTTTTAAAAACCCTAATGTAGTTGAAAGGCTTTAAGCCCAGGAATGGGTCTACTATGAAACTAATGAAGCTTAAGCCTCAGGGCCCCAAATCCCTGAGGGGCCCCAGAAGCCACTTTAGTCCACACTGATTAAAAATTGTGGGTCTAATGTATGAGGAGTTGCATTGCAAAGGGGCCCCCATAACAGTTCAAGCTTCAGTGCCCCTTGAATGACTAGTTAGGGCTCTTGAACGACTAATTAGGGCCTTTGAACAACTCTAGTTAGGGTCCTTGAACGAGACTGGTTAAGTCCCTTGAACGACTAGTTAGAGCCCTTGAGTGGCCAGTTAGGGCCCTTGAATGACTAGTTAGGGCTCTTGAATGATTAGTTAGGGCCTTTGAATGACTAGTTAGGGCCCTTGAATGACTAG